GATACGCAGCGTCTGCACCAGAAACGAGCACATGGGGCAACCGCGGGAAGATAATGCGACAAGAGCGTGATAGGATTCCGAGTGTCGATGTCCGCTTTCGCTCAGCACGGCCAAAAGACTTATGGCGCTGCATGAGGCACATACCGAGACACCATCGGGGGGCACGACGGGAAGTGCCTCGATGTGGGACTCGATGAGTTGGTGGCCGACTCGTCGTCTGGACTCTGTGTCATTTGCTACGTTGTCCATGGTCCTTGTGCGCTTTGTCCGGGCACAACAAGGAGATCGATTTTGAATGATTCGCGATTGATGGGCATGTTGAGAGCGGAGGAGAGGTCAACGGACTTTGAAATACGTGACAAGGCAGACTTGGCAGCTGCGCCACATTGGGCTGGGAAGGCCGTTCCGCCCTCAGCTTCGCAGCCTTGCGACGTGTTAGTCTATCATTGGACCTTCAACATCGCCAGTCTGGCTAATGGTCAAGGCAGTCGAGGGAAGTGTGTAACTTGGCACTCGTTGTGCGGCAGTCGGAGACAAGGGCATGGTTTAGTCCGGCGAGGAGACATAGCGAACCAGGGCCTTTGCAACTTGGGACGGGCGTTTAAATCCTTATCGCCCCAACGGAACCGATCTCGTTCAAATGAGTGAGCGATGCATTGCAGAATGCGATTTGTAGATCCCGTTAGGTGCAGCCTTGTGCCCAGCCAGGTGGCCGATATGTACAAGCGAAACCGGGCATCATGCTTCCTTGATGGCGAGTTTTTCGCTCATCTCCTTCTTGATCCGGGTAATGGTGCCAGAGCCACCGTAGACCAGCCCAGTGTAAACCATGGCAACGCTAGCGCCGGCATTCAAGATCTTGAGCGCCTGGTCTCCGTTCGTGATTCCGCCTGTCGCAAAAATGACCTTCTGGCCCGGGAATGCATCGTCGACTCCGGCAGCCTTGTGTGAGTAGCTGTCGAGCATCTTGCGGTACCGCGCTACCAGGCTCAGAGTCCGGTCGAACATGGCTGGCCCGGAGAAGCCGCCATCCTCTGCTAGCGCCTTCTGCTCCTTGCCCGTCAGCCGCACTCCCTCCTTGACCAGCCCCGTCCGCCGCTTCGTCGTGTTGCCCACAATCACACCGTCGACGCCGCTCATCCACACGGCCTGCACAACCCCCTCCATCTGGGTATCATCATCCTCATCCGGTGAAACCTTGACCATGACCCTCGGTTTGGCCTTCCTGTCAGTCCTCTTGGCCTCGTCAACCACGGCCCCCAACAACCTGGCCAGCGGGCCCGCAGCCTGCAAGTCCCTCAACCCGGGCGTGTTTGGACTGCTGACGTTGACGACCAGCACATCCGCGTACGGGGCGAGCCGCTGCACGCAGTACACATGATCCCGGATCACGGCCTCCATATCCCTCTCGTCCGTCTTCTTGTTCTTGGCGATCTGCACGCACAGCAACCGGCCCGGCGCCAGACTGCCGGGTGGCACCCCGCCCTCCCCGTCCAGCACCTCCCTCTCGGTCAGCCCCCACCGCCGCGCGAGCCTCCGCAGCCGGTCCCTCAGCCGCGCGGCCATGGCATCGGCGCCGCGCGAGTTGAGCCCGTACCGATTGATCAGGCCGTCCACGGCCGGGATGCGGAACACGCGCGGGCGCGGGTTGCCCTCCTGCGGCAGGGGCGTGCAGCCGCCAACCTCGACGACGCCGGCGCCGAGCGCAAACAGTGGGTCGGGGATCTCGGCGTCCTTGTCGAGCCCCGCCGAGATGCCGATCGGGTTGGCGAGGGTCGTGCCGAAGACGGTGACGGCGAGCGGGCTGGAGCGGGAGGATGATGATGCGGGGTAGGAGTCAAGGAATGGGAGGGCGGAGGGCCGCTCGCGTGGGTGCAGGCCGAGCGAGTAGAGGGCTTTGAGGGCGGCGGTGCCGGCGTGGTGGGCGTCTTCGGCGTCGGGGAAGAGGACGCGGAGCACGCGCGGGACGAGCCATTGGTGCAAGGAGGCGCGTGTATCGGTGGTGTAGTAGTAGGTTATTCCCGCGATGGCGGCCAGGACGCTGGTGGCGAGCATTGTGCGAGCTGTGGAGGGGGGTTTTCTGGATGTTGTCGAGGTGAGGCGGTGGGGGATGTGGTTGCCGAGTCTGGGTTGAGGGCGGATAATCGGTCGGAATGCGGCTGCTAGAAGCCGTCGGGCTGGAGATACGGTGCCCGCCATCTTCTGGACGATGGCTGGGCCAAGCCAGCGCTCAGCAGTTGCAAACGAGGGACGGCCGGGTTCGGCTCGGTGATGTTGAGGTTGAACAATCGGAAATAAAAAATCGCGCTAACTTTGACGGCCAGTAACCGCGGCGCGCCAAGAAACGGAGTGGATTCCAATACGTAAATTACGGATACCGAACCATTCCATTTCGGCCGCCCAGGGTAAAATACCCAAAGCGGACACAGGCTGTTGCAATGCCAAGAAACCCTAGGTTTCAGTGCAGCATTTCCACAAGTCATCCGCAGCCCCAATTTTGTTTGTTGATCTGCGTGATCTTGGCCCAGCAACAACAGGGAGTGGCTTGAACAAGTCTCTCCATCAAACGACAATGTTGAAAAGGAAGCGCGACACCAACCCCAGCACAGATGGCCCAGCCACAAGGCCGACTATGGATGGGCCGGGTCTTGGGCAGGGCCGACAGCAGAGGGCAGGGAGAACATCTGCTGCCGTGACATCTGCGACATCATCGACCTCACAAGCGGCCGCTCGGAACCATGCAGTCAACTATCTGTTGCTTGTCCGCCTCAAGAGCTCCTCAGACCCAACAATCACCCGCATCTTGTCCATTCCCGCCCACTTCACAATGGCCAAAGTCGCCGACGTCCTGACAGTGGCGTTCGGCTGGGCGAAGGGCTACCACTTGAGCAAGTTCGAGCTCAACAAGATCGAGGAACCATCATCGATTCTACTAGGTACTTGGTCTAACCATCCACCGATTCTCGAGATACTGGACGACGAGTCGCTGGACATCCGAGACAGCATTTCCAACTCGCCATTCTTCCCCTCACATTCCGACAAGTACACCCCGCCAAAGCTGGTAAGCCTGCGCAAAATGACTCTGCGCGACATCTTTGACGACAGCAGCAAGTACTACGGTACCACGCGCCTGTTGTGGGAGTACGACCTCGGAGATGGGTGGGAACACACCATCTCCTTCATGGGCAAGGAGGACGCCCACCTGCGTGCGGTCATGGGGACTCAGCCTGGCGCCACGACGACTTGTCTTGGCGGCGAGGGCCATCCATGCGCGGAAGATTCGGGCGGCAACTGCCTCGACCGCTACAAATGGGACCTGGCCAAGGTAAACGAGGCATTGATGAAGATCAAGTAGTATGACGGACGAATGGAGGGAATGGAGGGAATTAAGTGACATGGGTATGTACAAGTACATGGCTGAATTGTCATTGTGGACAGTCACATAGGAAGCCGGAACATACAGTCTAGATGATCACTCCGACACATGAACTGATCCTCATCTGTGATGTTGACCATTCGAGTTGTCTAGAACGTCAGCTTTATCCCAAACGCCGGCCGATGCGATGCGTCTAAGCAACCCTATTCCCAAGTCTGCCGGTCGACCCCCGTCTATCACATATTATCGTCAAAGTGCAACAACAACCGCATCCCCCCTTCCATTTATACAGTAACCTTCTCTCCCAACGCAGCCGCCAGTGACCCCTCGGCCTGCCTCGCAATGCGCCGTTCGGCCAACCGGTTGAGGTAGCTGAGATAGGTCTGCCACCCGACGGCAATGACGCCTCCAAACACGGGCCGGTACTCGAGCGGGAGCAATGCGAAGCTGAACGCGGTCACGGCCGGCCACAGCTTGCACGAGTTGAGGCAGCTGACGGGCACCGTCTGCCGGATGCGCTCCCACGTCTCGGCCGGGTTGGCGCCCGACAGCAGCGCCTGCATGCCGAAGAAGTATGTGTTGAAGACCGGGGTGAAGCAGATTTGGTTGACGATGACCTTTGCGGCGATCGACAGGACGCGCGACGGGTAGTTGAAGTTGTCCGAGAGCCAGACGAACCTGTCGCGGTGTCCCCCCCGGGTCAGCTTGTCTGTCCCACCGTGGCCAGCGCATTCGGGGAAGCAAACTCACCATCTGTAACTCGGTATTGCCGATATTGATCCGACCAACAGCGAGCGCGCTGTACGTGTCGGGTCGTAGTCCTTCCCGCTCATGCTCTGCGCCGAGACTGCAAGCTTGTCAGCTCGGCTCGCGGCCACTCGTTGACATGTTGGGGGCAGGGCGAGGTGTCACGCACTGTCGGAACACAGGTAGATGAACAGCGAAGTGCACACCTGGGTGACATATGGCCTCTTGCGCTGCGCCCGCGCATACGCTTGGGCCGCCCTCGTCAACGGCCCCAGCCTCTGCCAGAAGTTGAGTGTCGGGACGTTGTTGGGTGTCGGAACCTGCTCGGGCTGCTGTCGCGCGGCCTGCTTCGGCTTCTTGTGGGTTGGGTCGCCGTTGGTGGATTGCGCCCGGCGCTGGCGCAGCTTCTTGAGGATGTCGATGTTGCGCCGGAGCGCCGTTCGGCATGTAAAACAGACCGCCATTCTTTGCTGTGTCGCTACAGCCGTCGCCGCGTCGAAAAGTCGTGCTAGGATAGAGGCGCTCACATGGCTCGTGTTGCACTGGGAAAGGTTGAAGTGTGCTGGTGACTGCGATGCGGGTGGCTTGGCTTGGCAGCAATGCAACAAAAAGCCGAAAGTGCGGCCCGAGCGCGGCGGTATGCGGCATAGCACAGCCGAGCGCGGCAAACTGGTGATCAATTTGAGGTCACGAGGCTGCTCCAAACATAGAGCTCTTAGGTAATGTCCAAGCCGGCTGTGTATAATGAGTAATAGGAAAGTTTAGGCTAACGTTATCTGTAGTCTGTATATGTACTTGTAGGACAGTTTTTTGCTAAGAGTGCCAAAGTGTGAAAATGTTACAAGCTTTGGACCTGATCGTTCAGCGAATAAGTACGGCTCCTGTGGCCTAATTGGCAAGGCGTGAGACTTCTATTTTCTAAAGTATCTTAAGATTGTGGGTTCGATCCCCACCAGGAGTGCTATATTCATTTTTCCCCAATGTTGAACTCCCGGTTCATTCTAGGTTCCCAAATCTCAAACCAAGACAGTGAGACGTCTTTCGCTCTTGGTGTTCAGGCTATTTTGGCGGTATAGCTGCTCCTTGATTCGAAATCAGCGTTCGTTCTTGGTGGTGGGCAAATCTTGCCCATTATTGTGCTGATCGTCCCGCTTCAGGGTTAGGTTTCATACGCACAGCAGGCGCCACTCCCCGCACCTGCAACATCGTTTTCACCTCTCCATGTTCCTCTCCCTGCTCATCACAAATCTCCAGCGATGTGTGACATATCAATCCGAGAGTACATCCGATGGCTCCCGGATGAAGCCAGCGAGCCCACCTCCACGATTGTGCTGACGACGCCGCAGCGGCGGTTCGTGGATGTCCGCGTCTTGAAACCGACTTCGGAGGAGGATGCAGCCCGTGAGTGATGTGTCTGTGGGCTACCTGAGTTAATGTCCCAAACATGCTTACAGTGTGATACTCAACTAATAGACACCCTTCTCCCGCTCTCCCGGCTAGACTGGGCCATCGCTGGGGTTTCCTCCTCGGTGGCTCCGTCACCTGCGGACCCAGGGCAGGAGATGAAGCATTCCCGCTGGGACCACTGGATCGATTCGCGGATAGCGGATGCCGACGGTGTCTTTGACGAGGGGGATATGTTTGATGATCCGACGGATTCAACCCTTATGCTGGAAAAGGGCCGGATGGTGAATCCGGCGACTGGAGTAGAGACAGAGTACGAGGAAATCTGGCGGTCTGAACCGATCCAGAATATACCTGTCCCCGGCGACCGAGAAGCAGGAGTCACTTGCCTGGCATTGCAGATGGAGGTCTCGGGTGGCGGGGAGGGTCCAGCTGGAAAGGCCAAGAGGGGATTGATTGTCCGACTGGGCCAGTATTGCCAGGCGTTTGCTCGGGACGGCGACGACATCACGTTGGAGCGGCTGAGGTGGGATGCTTGGCAGCAGAGGTGGACCACGGAAGTCCGCATGGGCGGGCAAGAGCTTCCTACTGACATTGCAACGTATCTTGCGCATGAAACCAGCATCGATGACGAGGTCAAAGTTGGCGGGGTGGTGTGGAAAGTGGTTGAGCGGGCCTAGGGTGGCTGCCGTTTCCGGTTTCCCTCCCAACCGCGGCAATCAACTCGGCGTGGAAGGCAAGACCAACCGACGATTTTCAGAGGACGGGCCAGTTTTCCATGCTTTGTGTGCCAGGCTACTTCAAAGTTTTCAAAGTGGGCAAAATCAATCGACTTGCTTGAGGTTCCGTCTCCATCTCAAGGTCTCCTCCCTCAGGCTCTCCACGCACGCAGTGGCAGTGCCACACATTCGCGACTTCCACCTCTTCGACCTCAACTCCCATGTCAGCATCCAACTCAGGACATCCGAGTACCGTCTTTCGAGCTGCATTACTGTCGCTTTAGACAATCATCTGCCAGCAAGACCGTTGCCATGTTGTCTCCCGGGCATGCCCGTCTCTGGGACTACTTCTACCCCTTCGGAAATACGGCTGCCGTGTGTTTGACACAGGCGCTGCCGCCGGAGAAGAAGGCCGACATGCTGCTCCTGGGCTGCGGAGACGTCCGCAACATTCTGTTCACTGTGCACAACGATGGTAAGCACGGGCCGACAGAACTTAGACTGCCAGGCGACTGATGGCTGACTGCGACAAGTTCCCCGTCAAATGGACATCACCTGCTGCGACATGACCATCGCCATTATAGGTGACCTCTCTCACAGTCCACCGTTGGTTACTGGTCTTCTCACGCTCTAGCAGCTCGCAACATTCTTCTCGTCACCTTGATCGTCGACGACCCGGACGGGGAAAGGGACGACAACTGGGACATCTATTATCACGTCTTCTTGAATGACTCCTGTTATGACCGCCTGATCGGACAGGCCACGAAGTTGCACTCTCTGTGCTCCTCACTCGAGACGTGGCGCGCGAGCAAGTACGGCAAGCTCATCCGGTTCTGCGACCACGGCACTCTGACCAGAGTCGCCCAAGTCTGGGCATTCTACATCTTTGTGGCGCCCCACAGGCAGTCTTGGATTAACACGACATTCAAGGATGCCGTCGACACTCGCAAGGGCAAGGTGGCCGGCATCAGTTATGTCATACCCGGTGTCAGGAATGCAACACCCACAGGAGTTAAGGCCGCAGTTCATATTTACGAGCTCCACGAACACTTCTGGCGACACGGGAGCCTCCACCTGGATTCTACAGCTCGGTCTCAGGCCACGTTCGCCAACCCGATGTTCGTGTCGTCTCTGCATGAGACTATGGATCTGCACCAGGGACTGGACCCCCTGCTTGGCTTTCATACCTCCACCGCCTACGTCCCACTGGCTGCTGACCCGGCGTCTACTCCGGAAGAGACAGGGTCAGAAGACGTTGTGGTGGCCGCCAAAGCCGAGTTCCGGGCGTGGAGCAACACGTTCAGAACAAGGGCAGAGGAATACTTGACACTGCGGTTCTTTGCTGGAGATGCGCTCTCCTTTTGCCACACTCTTCAACACCGGCGGGTTACCGGGTCAGCTACAACCGCCTCGTGGTATCGGAGCCGGCACCACACCATGGATCCTCTGGTGCTCGTGGATGATGACTACGGCACCGACGGCACCGCCCCAGTATCTTTCGATGTCGTCGATACTTCCGACCTTGCGGACTGCCTGGGCATCCTCAATCTGCTCGTGGCAACATCACCACTCTTGGACAACGACGCCTCATCGTGCCTGTACACCGATATTTTGGCACGTCATGGGGAGGCCACACACCAAGGCACCTTCAGCGAGCTTGTTGGCGGCCACGCAGCTACCGTTTCACTCCTCCTCGGGCTCTTCCCAATGGAATACTGGACGAACACCGCCTCGTCATCCATCGGAGACGACCACTTGTTGCTCGTCGGGGCTGATCAATGGAAGTCCGAGGCTACCAGCAACCCACAGTTCCTCCGAATCACATGGAGGCGCCCTCCTTCGACCCCAGGGTTGGGAATAGAACCCTTGCATGTCAATGAGATCAGTCTGTCCTTGATCTTGTACAAGATCTATGCTGACATGTTCCTGGGAGAGGACGTCACAACGAGCTCCGAGAACTCTACTTTACCCGGTGCCGAACGCACCTCACTCTCTTTCTACACGCGAGCGGGCTTCGTCTCGCTTCTGTCTTTGGTCAAGCGGCGCGTTGTCACCGACTGGGATCAAGCGATGCAAGCTCTGCTGGCAAAAGTCGAGTCCAACAGCATAGTCATGGTTGGGATGAACTTCATGCAGGAACTCTTCCTATACATGCATCTCCTCGACGTGTACTCGGTCGGTACCTTCAAGTACTTTGATGATTTTCGCGTCAGCATGAGCCTCGAACCCAAGCGATGCTCTGGCCTGCTGGGCTGGCAGAACTTGCCGCCTTGTGTTTGCATCACGCTCAAAGTTCCACGGCTTGCTCTTCGAGAATTCACTTCTCCAAATCCGAGGCAACTGGGTTCTATCGCCGTCCAGGCCGCGGTACAAAGCTTCCCGAAAAGCCCGACTGCTTGGTTCAATGCATTCGCCGCTGTGCAGCTTTGCTTTGGCACGCTCTCTACCAGCGGCACCCCTTTCAGCAACTCGTTCGAGCTTAGCGTCAAGGAGAACTTGTTGGGCTGGCTCGGAGAATGCCCGCTGTACGTGTCCTTCCGAGTGCCGTCCTGGATTATTCTCCGCGAGCCTCAGACGGCCATCGTGAGTTTCGGCCCGCAGAGAAACCCATTCACTGCAGACAGATCTGCGCCTACCCTGGGACCCGAGTTGGTCATGTTCGAAAAGCCGCTCGGTGACACGACCCATGTATACATCAGCAAGCATCCGCCCAACCTGCGCGGCTTCATCAAGGTTCCTGGCTTTGCCAAAGATGTCTTCACGCCGCAGATTCTGACGGGGGCAGAGGCCAAGACCAGCATCACTGCCAGCGTCAACTCAGCTACCGCGTGGATCGACAACCTGACGGCCCGTTTGGAGTTGTCTGGCGCCCTACGAGCAGCCGTCGCCCACAGGAAGAGTGCGATTGTCACTCTCCTCCCGCCGTCCCATTGCGAGGTCAGGGTTGACCATACCGTGCTCGACGTCACCTTTCCGCTCCCCACCGGCGACTTAACAGCCTACATCGAGCCAGCCGGGCATCTCATTGAACTCTCCGGGCCCATCATCAACAATCCGGCTACCAGTCCCACCTCAGCCTTTACCAGCCCCCTAATCTTCCCCCCTTTCTCAACCACTCTCCATCATGGCCCCGTCATCCCCATCTGTTGGACAGCCCCTTACATCACCCTCTCCAAATGCCCAAAGCTCTCCACCGCCAACCCGGTCGCCCTCTCAAGGCTCTCATTCCTCCGTCCCCACATCGACATGATGTTCTCAGCCCGCGAAACCCGCATGGGCAAGAGTTCCGCTCTGCAGCCTCTCATGTTCGCAACTGAAGAGGAACGCGGCCGCCTGAAATTCAAACTTTCTTTGGCCCGCCTGTTTAGCGAGGTGGCGGGCTTCGCTGTCATCCGGCCGTCGTCGTGGACCCCGCGGCGCGACAACGGGGGAGACCTGAAATTCGATGGAGTCTACACGCTCCGCGACGGTTCCGGCAGCAGATTAGTGATCTTTGTTGAGAGCTTTCGGCTAGACCTGGCGAGGCGCACGGTGGTGCTGGACTGCGCCGTGCTGGTCTTTACGCTGGCCGTCCTTCCGGCGCTGAGCGAATGGCTCCGCCCGCAAGCGACGGATGCTGACTCCACTGGTGGCGGGGCGGTGATAGCCGATGTGGATGCTGAGGAGATGCGGGTATGGAAGGAGACGCTGCCGTCGTGGGTCGAGAGATGTCGGGAGTGGATGCATCGCGAGGGGTGCGAGTATGGGCGCGAGGGGAAGTGGAAGGCGCCCGTAGGGCGGCTTGACGACCCGTGCGGGGAGGTGGTGTGTGGGTGCGGAAGGGGCGTGTTTCCGGCCG